GCCACACACACACGAACACCAGGGCAGCCACAATTCCTGCCTGGAGCAAGGGGGTGGCTCCCTATGTGGCTGCTCTGTTCCTGGGATAGTGGAAGGTGTCCTTGCCATGGCAAGTGGTGGGATGGGATGATCTCCAAGTTCCCTTCCAACCCAAATCATTTTGTGATCTAAACTGCTTTTTCCTGCTGCTCCATCCCTGAAAGGGTCCAAGGCGAGGCTGGACAGGGTTTGGAGCAACCTGGGATAGTGAAAAGTGTCCCTGCCCATGGCATCTCCATGTCTCCTTTCAACCCAAACCATTCTGGGATTATGGGATTCAAACCTGCTGCTCCATCCCTGGAAGCACTCAAGGACAGGCTGGACAGGGTTTGGAGTGACCTGGGACAGTGGAAGGTGTCCTTGCCATGGTAAGTGGTGGGATGGGATGATCTCAAAGTTCCCTTCCAACCCAAATCATTTTGTCATCTAAACTGCTTTTTCCTGCTGCTCCATCCCTGGAAGGGTTCAAGGCGAGGCTGGACAGGGTTTGGAGTGACCTGGAATAGTGGAAGGTGTCCCTGCCCATGGGAAGGGGCCTGCACCTGGATGGTCCCCAAGTTCCCTACCTACCTAACCCATTCTGGAATTCTATGGAAAAGGATGATCAGCCTCAGGACAAGGACAGAAGAAAGGGAGACAATTTTGAAGGAAAGAAATGAAGAGAGAGGGTACAAATCTCTAACTTACCTGCACTCAGGGAATGCAGCAAGTGGGAAAGTTCCTGGGGACATTAAAAATGAGGGAGAGGAGGAGGAGGAAGAGGAGGCACCATTCATGAAGAGAGGTTTGGTACCAGCTGGTTGTTCTGCATCTGCCAGAGGAAGGAGAAATTCAGGAATTTAACTTGAATGCTGTTGCTAAGAACAGAATCCCTGCTCCTCAACACGGGATATGAAGGTATTTTATTGATTTGTATATCCAAAGGCAATGGATATTTTATTCAAATTCATTTTACATGACACATATGGAAATTGCCATGTGTCCAAAATCCCAACTAAAGGAATATTAAGCTGCCTAAGGACAGACCTCCTACAGTTGGATTTTCCAACAGTTTTTGAAGAATCCACCATTCCCACCATTCCCTCTCACTTGTCCTGAAGTCTTGGAAGAGACCTCTAACAAGAAAAACCCTGGGACATCCCAAGTTCAACACCCCTTTGGATATATTTTTTTTAAATACATATATATTTAGTAGGATAAAATGAAATTTTCCAAACTGAGCTGTAAATCTGGGAAAGGCAAAGGGATTTCTGTCCTCTTTGCAGAGCTCCACATCAAGATGCCAAACATGGCTTGATCCTGCAGAGATCCCTGACATGCAGAAAGAGCTGGACCATTTTATTGGCAAAGGAGGTACCTGAAGGTTTCCCTGCTCTCCCATCCTTTATTCCAGGGGTTGTCTCCTCAGGGTTTTTCTGGCTGAGCTGCTCCTGGCAGGATTTAGGACCAGGAACTCGATATTTGTAGATGTCCATGACCAGGAACTCGTTGAACTGGACGTGTTCGTGTCTCTTCAGGGGAGTGCCTTGGTTTGACCAGCTCAGCCTTTGCAGGTGGATGCACAAACACTGGGGCAGCTTCAGGAAAGCAAAATCCACATTTTTCATGGAAAGAAACAACTGGTAAGCCCAGGGAATAAGGAAATGAATTTCTCTTATCTCTGTGTAAGCTCAGTGGCAACAGTGTCCTTAAAATGTGACAATAATTCTTGTGAGATTCCTGATCTCTCCTAATCCCCAAAAATTAATGGTTTTGCACAGGGGAAAACCAAAAACATTAAGTGTTACAAAGAGCTGAAATTAGAAATAATTGCTGTAGCAAGAAGTACTTTATTATTATTATTATTATTATTATTATTATTATTATTACTACTACTACTACTACTACTACTATTATTACTATTATTACTATTATTACTATTATTATTACTGGCACCTGAGGCTCCTAATTGCACACCAATGCCCTGCTGGCCTCTGCATGACAGGATTACAGAGCAAAAAAAAAAAGTTTTTTCTTAGAAATCACACCTGATGTTTACTCACCAGCTGTACTAAGAATATTTTAATTTCTCTGAAATGAGGAATTGCTAAAGATGCTACAAACCCTGTAAGTATAAATCAATTTGCTCACTGAAGAGCAAATGTAAAATTAATGTAAAATCTAAGACGTGACACTGAGCCAAATTCACATTTAAGTGTTTTTCTAAATAACAGAATATTCACATCCTCTAATTGTTTAATGCTTCCTGTTTTGCTGAGTTGAGGCCTCAATGCCCACAGATATTTGCCAGGTGAGTTTACTTTGAAAAATAAAACATTTGTAGTCTAGCAGCAAGAAATGGGCACAACCAGCTCCAAGGGAGAAGTTACTGTGACAGGATTTAGGGGATTTGGAGGGGTTTTTTTTGCCTCACCTTTCCTAACTTTAATTGCTTAACAAATGTTGTTCTCTGGTTTTCTATGCTCTGTCCATTCAGAATTCCTTGTGCCTGGATCTGGAATGAAAAGGGGAAAAAATGAAGGCACCTGCAGACAGGAGCAATTAATTGTGTCGTTTATGCTCAGTGCATTAATCACACCTAGGAATGCTCTTCAGAATTCCTAAAGGGTCAAAATTCTAAACCAAAATCAAGCAGAAATGAGAATTTTGAGAACTCCATTCACTCAAAACTGCCTCTTCTGTTCATTTTTAAACAGAATTGATTTTTTAATACCAGAGCAAAAAAATTATCCCTGGTGACACCTGGCAACTACAGAATAAAATATTTGTACATTTTTGAAACAGCAATAGTAAGTAAAGCCTCAAATACTTCATGAGGTAAGAACTCTTTGTTAAATATCTGAAATTCCAGAGGTTTTCCCCAAGTCCTGAAGAAAAAAGAGGTGAAAAGCAAAGCCAGGATTGTGTCAGCAGGCTCAGAACTGAGCAGGGAGGTGACAGGAATTAAAGTGACAGGAATCAAAGGGACCTACTTTGGTGCAGTTGTCACACACAACATCCTTGACAGACTCTGAGGAGATGAAGTGATGGAGGCAATGGTCCAGTGTCATGGGACGACCCTGAGGGCCAAGAAAAACCAGAATTATTTGCAGGAATTTTAGGGTGCATTCCACTGGATTTTGGCAAAGGGATTTTTAATAATTTTTTCCATAAAAAAAACTACAGAACTGCAGATTTATTTCATGAAAGAACTGAGTAAATGGCTTTGGGTGATCGTGGAACTGTGGGGATTCTCCTTTAGCCTGGATTAAACATGGAAAAGTTTGCAGCTTTTGGATAACAGCAGCAGTGATTCCCTGTGTGAGCCTTTCAGTGGGATTTTAAACCCCAGATTTCTGCCCTGTTCCTATTTATTTCTCATTCCAGCACCTCAGGGATCACTTCATGCTCTCTGGCCCTCTCCATAGCAGAAATACAGCTTTTAGTGGGATTTAAGCCTCCTTGCTGCCCTTCCTCATATCCTGCCCTGCCAAGGATTGGATAAAACAAAACACAAAGAGCAGAAGATGTGCCCAGATTTCAATCCTGGCTGTCCAGGAGGGCACTCTGCAAACAGCAATCACAATTTCCATGAGCTGTGGAAAGAAATCCCTACCAGACATGAAGCAACAAACTCTTACAGTCCAAAAATATCCTGCAGATGATGCCCTAAAAATCCACAATGTTTTGTCATTTTGAAGTTTTTCAGAGCCAGAAAGAAACGGAAAAAAATTCCAGTTGAATTCACCCCCTGGTATAGCCTGGATGGGGTAAGGTGTGAACTGCCACCTTGCCAGCCCCTGGGATATGATCTGGGCTCTTCAAATTTGTGGAAATTTGTGGAAAAGACCAACATTTTGTGGAATTTGTGGAAAGGACCAAATCCTCCACCAGGAGAAGCAGAAAGCTCTGCTGGCATCACCAAGTTCTGCTTGTTGGGCTCATGAGAAGCTCTTAGAGCAGTTTGGGAGAAGGTCCTGCAGCAGCACAGGGTTGAAACAGAGCAGGAAAATCAAGCCCTGAAGGAGCTTTGGGTGTTTTCTGCACCTGAGGAAGGGCTGGGAAGGGCAGGGAGGATCAGGAGCAGGGGGATACGCACCCACACAGCCGCTGGAATGCTCAGGGAGAGGCTGTCAAAGGTGTCAAACCTCACAGGGCTCTGCAAGAGAACATTCCAGCATTTGTGGTCAGTGATGCCTTCAGTTTTAGCTTCAGTTTTCACATTCTGCACTGCATTAGGATGTAACTCTGAGATTCACAGAAAGTGTTTGCAAGTTCTCCTCACAGTTCAGTCAGACAAAACAATCCTTCTCCAGCCCCAGAAACAAGGATACTATTACAGCTTCTAAAAAGTGTACACAACAAAAAGACCCAAAAAGTCCAAAAAGTGTAAATTGAGGAGAGCAAACTGAGAGGATGAGACTTCATAACCTGAAGTGGTAATTGGACAATTAACCCCAATATGGAAATGGACCAAAATTTATTAAAAAATGCGAAAACTCGTGACCATCTTGGGTCAGGCTCTTGTACTCACCAAGGAGTATCTTGTGAAACCTGTTTAATAAATATTTACTTTATTCTTTAACACTGTGTAGCCTCTGTTCAAAGCAGCCTTCAAGGCATCATCAGTCCCCAAAAATTCCAACCCAGCTCTCCCAAGGTGAGCCTGTGCCCTGTGCTGTCCATAATTCCCTGAGGAACTGGATCCAAACCCCTCAGATCCCCAGGGAATACCAGGAATGTTCTGCTCGGCCTCTTCTTCCTCATTCCAATTTGTTTGCAAGGTTTTGGGAAATAAAATGCAAAATGTTTTCTTGGTTTGGGCTATAAATTAGGTTTATTTTCTGTATTTTTTCCATTGTTCAGGTTGTCTGCATCTCCTTATTTGGGATAACTGGACTTTGCAAAATGTGCTGAATGAGCAGCAAGTCCTAAACTCACCAGGTGAGTGAATGTTCAGGTGATATTATTAATTAATTAATTAATTGTTAATTCAATAATAGAAGAAAACAACCATTATTCTGGTTGATGAGGCAGCTGTTATCCCCACAAGGTGCATCACATGGATTTTCTTTTTAGTCTATTTAGGGATAAATCTTTGTTCATCACCAAGGGATGATGGTTCCAGGATGGAAATCCCTCCTCACATGACACAAATATTAATAATAATGATAATATAAAATATTATCTATTTCCACACCTGGTGCTCACAGTGTTTGCAGACCATGTTGCTGGTCAGCCTTCCATGGAAAGGGTGCTGAGATTTCCAGTGGTTGGACACAGGGGGAAGACATCCTGCAACACAAAAATTGTCCTTGGATTTTCCATTCATCCACTTCCATCACTCCAATCCCACATTTTTGCCCTTCAGTTACAAAATTAATGCCTCCACAGCACACTTTTGTCTCAGTGATTAATAATTAACTGAGGTTTATTTATATTTTTGATTTCTATTTCAGTTCAGCACAAAGATCAATTAATATTATCCCTTTAATAAACAAAACTACCCTATAAATATTCAGAATATCCAGAAGGGATAAAATCCTACCTCTTGTTCTGCAGCTTATTTGCTTTTGGATTATTTCTGGTTGCTACAGAGGGAGATAAAAACATTTCATTAACCCTACCTCAGCAATATTGAAAAGATTCAGAAATTTAATACATGAAGTATTAAATGTGCTCCTATTTCATCCCTAATTGTCTTTTCTGCCATTAGAAAAATTGTGGCTCTTTATATTTGTAAGAACAAAAAATCTTGGTACAAAACAAATTTATAATTGACACTTGCTCATAAAAGGAATCATTAATCTGCAGAACTCTCTGCCTCAGAAAATGAAAATGGGAGATTTTGTCTTTTTTTGGTCTATATTTTAGGCAAAACCAGATATTTTCCATCTGCATCAAGCTTATCAATTTTACCTCCATAAAACTCTTCCAGAAATGTCCTTTTTGCACTTTCAACCCTTTTTCAGGTGGGAAATAAAGATCAGAGTAACTGCTTGGAGGGACTTAAATTAAATCCCTACATCCCATGGATTTAGGGATGCAAAACCCTCAGGAAAGCAAGAACACTGAAAATTCAGAGATATTTTCTTCGGAAAACCTGAGAATTCTTTAAATTTGACTTATTGATGAGTCCTAATCAAAGGATTAAAGAACAGCTTTGGGAAGAGATTTAAAATATCCTAAATATACATTTTCTACTTGGGAATCTGGGCAGATGGCAGGAGTTTCTGGGAAGGAAAGAAGGGGGATCACCTCCAGGGAATGCACATCAAACAGATGGGTCACACGGGGCTGCCGATCCCGCTCGTCCTCCAGGGAAGAGGTCAGGACATGGAACAGCTCATGGGCATCCTGGAAATGGAGTCAGGGAAAAAAAAGGCATCAAAAAAACATCCCAGGAGGGCTGGAATTCCACAGGAAATTCAGGAAAAATTGCAGCTCAGAGACTGGATTTATTTTTATTTTTATTTTTATTTTTATTTTTATTTTTATTTTTAATTTATAGCTATATTTATGCCTATATTTATACTTACAAATTTTATGTGTATAATTTAATATTTATATTTACATTTATATTTACATTTATATTTATAGCTGTATTTATATTTANATATGGTGCATATATAATTAATATGGTGTATATGTGTATAATATGCTGTATATGTGTAATATGTGTATAATTAATATGTATATATAATTAATATATGGTGTTCACATAACTAATATATGGTGGCATTATATATTAATTATCATTTTTATATATAATATAATTAATATATGGTATATATATAATTAATATGGTGTATATGTGTATAATATGCTGTATATGTGTAATATGTGTATAGTTAATATGATGTATATATAATTAATATATGGTGTCTACATAACTAATATATGGTGGTATTCTATATTAATTAATATATCATTTATATATAGAATATAATTAATATATGGTGTATATATAATTAATACTGTGTATATGTGTATAATATGCTGTATATGTGTAATATGTGTATAATTAATATTATGTATATATAATTAATATATGGTGGCATTATATATTAATCAATATATATAATTAATATTATATATATAATGAATATATGGTGTCTACATGACTAATATATGGTGGCATTATATATTAATTAATATATCATTTATATATAATATAATTAATATATGGTGTATATATAATTAATATTGTGTATATGTGTAATATGTGTATAATTAATATATGGAGTATATATAACTAATATATGGTGGTATTGCATATTAGTATAACTAATATATAAAATGTGTACATATAATTAATATGGTGTATATGTGCAATATGTGTATAATTAATATATAAATTGTGTACATACAATTAATAGGGTGAATATGTGTAATATGTGTATAATTAATATATGGTGGTATTACATATTAATATAATTAATATATAAAATGTGTACATAAAATTAATATGGTGTATATGTGTAATATGTGTATATGTATATAATAATTATATGGTGGTATTATATATTATTATAATTAATATATAAAATGTGTATATATAATTAATGTGGTATATATGTGTAATATGTATATAATTAATATATGGAGTATATATAATTAATATATGGTGGTATTATATATTAATATAATTAATATATAAAACGTGTATACATAATATGGTGTATATGGGTAATATGTGTATAATTAATATGGAGTATATATAATTAATATATGGTGTATATATAGTTAATATATGGTGGTAATATTTATTAGTATAATTAATACATAAAATTATTATATAATATATATTATATAATATAGGAAATTAATAATAACAACAACATATTAATTAATATATAATTAATTACTTAGTGTAATAGAATTTCGTTTAACAAAACAGTTATTCAGCATTCTGAATCAATAGACTCAGACACCAATCATTCCCTTCCTCGGGGGTCGCCCTGCATCCGATGGAATTCCTTCCTAAAATCCNATAATATAGATCATAATATATAATATTATATATATAAAATATGTAAGCACATACTAAATATAAATAATAATGACAAATAAAAGCTTCTAAATAAATATATCGAATATGTTTATTCAATTATATACATTAAATATATATTATACTTTATGCAATTATATATGGCTATTATATACAATTACTGTAATGTATAACTTTTATATAGATATATTGTATACATTATTATAATATATTGTAATTATTATATCTAATGCATATAATCATTATTATATATTATAATTATATATGTTATTATATACAATTACTATTATATATCACTATTACCTATTAACACTTCTACTACTACTACTACTACTACTATTATTATTATTATTATTATTATTATTATTATTATTATTATTATTATTATGTTTATATTGAATCTATTTTGTTGTGCCCAAAAGCTTCCTAACAGCACAAAGTACTCAAGACATTCTGGGCCATATAAACTCACAAAAAATGAAAACACTTGGGAGTAAAAATAATACCCCCAAATAAATTTCCAAATCCCTGTTTTCCTGGATTTTGAGGGAAATATCCTTGGAAATCAGTAATATATTTTAGGAATGGATAATTGATGGAGTACATTGGCAATACTGACAAAAATTGCAAATAATTAGGATTACTGAAAAGATTGGAACAGATCCATTATCCAGAGGGAAATCAGGGATCTGCTTTGCTTTAATATTCCTGATCCTGTTGCTAAGGACAAGGTTTGGAATTCCCTGAGGAATTCCCAGCCCACTGAGAGCCCCATTCCCAAGCTGGGGATGTTTCCCATCAGATTTTGGAGCAGGATCCAGCTCTGTTACTCCAGCCCTGTGGGTTTTCCTGCTGCACTCACCTGCTCCCCAAAGGAGGAGATCTGCTAAGGACAAGGTTTGGAATTCCCTGAGGAATTCTCAGCCCACTAAAAGCCCCATTTCCATGCTGTGAAGTTTCCCATCAATTTTTGGGAGCAGGATCCAGCTCTGTTACTCCAGCCCTGGGGTTGTCCCAGTTTGCTGCACTCACCTGCTCCTCAGAGGAGGAGATCTGCTAAGGACAAGGTTTGGAATATCCCAGCCCACTAAAAGCCCCATTCCCAAGCTGGGGATGTTTCCCACCAGATTTTGGAGCAGGATCCAGCTCTGACAGGCCCAGCCCTGTGGGTTTTCCTGCTGCACTCACCTGCTCCTCAAAGGAGGAGATCTGCTAAGGACAAGGTTTGGAATTCCCCGAGGAATTCCCAGCCCACTAAAAGCCCCATTTCCATGCTGTGAAGTTTCCCACCAGATTTTGGAGCAGGATCCAGCTCTGACAGCCCCAGCCCTGTGGGTTTTCCAGCTGCACTCACCTGCTCCTCAAAGGAGGAGATCTGCCACCTGTTCATCCTGAGCACCTCCAGCAGGCAGCTGGCATCCAGGACATCGTCCTCTGGCACCTCCTGGCACGACAGGGCTGGGGAAGGGAAGGCAGGAGTGTCAGGAGGAGCCAAAAATGGGGAAAAATCAGAGTTTTGTGGGGTTAGAGCAGCAGCAGCCTCACACCACTTCCCCAGGAACATCCCAAGGCAGAAATTTCCTTTATAAACAACCTGTGAGGGAAGCCAGGGGAGTCACTTGAGGGTTTCAGAGATTAATTTAGACCAAAAATTAACCACCTTGAGCTTAAAATCTTAAATATTTTATAATAATATTTTGTATTTTACATAATATGTATTACATAAATTTATTTATACAGTTATTTATTAGTTTATTTATCTATTCATTAATATAATTTGTTCATTATATAAATTTATTATATAAAAGAATATTATTTATTTTATAAGAAAAATTGTACTTACATAATATTGTATATTTTATAATAATATTTTGTATGCTATATAATACCTATTATATAAATTTATGTATATAATAACATAAATTTATATTTTAAAATTATAATTAAATATATATTTATATATATTATGTAAATAATAAAAATTTAAATTATATTCTAAATTTATAAATTTAGAATATAATTTATAAGTTTATTTATCAATTTATTTCTATAATTTGTTACATAAATTTGTTATATAGAATTATATTATTTCTTTTATGATAACTTATATTTAATATTTTATAGTTTATATTTTATTATAATATTTTGTATGTTCTATAATACCTATTATATCAACAGGTATTAATATAAATAATAAGTATATATATAATTAATACATATAAATTTACTTATATAACTTGTTTATTTATTTTACTACTTTAATATATAATTAATACACATAAATTTACTTATATAACTTGTTTATTTATTTTACTACTTTATCTATTTAAAGAATTTATTTCTTATATAGTATAAAATAATAAAAGTAAATAGTAAAAGTAAAAATAGTAAAAGTAAAAAGTAAAAATAATAAAAGTATATTATTTCTTTTATAATAGTATTTTAGATTTACCTAATATTGTATCTTTTATAATAATATTTTATTTCAATTTTTAATATCCAAAACCTTGCAAAGGGATGGTTGAATAGTCCCAGGTTTTTGGAAAAATAGTAAGCTTGGGGAAAACAAAAAAGCTAAAATTATTTGCCAACATTTTTAATAGAATTCTAAATTTCTTGAACCCTATGGAATTCAACTGTTCTGTGAAAGGTGCCTGAGCTTTGCCCAAGGCATTTCAATTAATCCGAAAATTAGAGAGTGAAATAAAACAGGGAATACAAACCCCACCAGCTTCTTTCTTTGGGAAAAGAGCCTAAAAATGCCAAATGTTCTCCTTAAACATTTAACCCTTGCTTTGCCACAAGAGGAAATGTGCCAGCAGTACCTCTGAGGAGCTGCAGCAGAGTCACGGAGAGGTGCTGGGGCTGCTCCTGGGGCTGCTCCTGCTCCGTCCTGTACTGGGCTGTGAACTCCTCCAGCCACCTGATGAACGAGGGGCAGGAGGACAGGCCCTGCAGCAGGGAATTCATGAAACACGTGTTGCCCAGGTTCAGCAGGCCTGGCACAAGCCCTGCAAAGAGAATTGCAAGAGTTTCCACCACGAAATCCAGGGGCAAACATCCTGGTTTTTAGCAGGAATGCTGGGTAATTACAGAAAAATTTATTTCAGTTAGTTCCGTTTTCAATTTGTGGTGTTTCGGTTCATTTTTTATCATCTTTCAAAAATTTCACAATTTTTTTCAGCATCCATATAATTAATATATGGTGCATATATAATTAATATGGTGTATATGTGTATAATATGCTGTATATGTGTAATATGTGTATAATTAATATG